GCCCAGGCTCATCTACCTGTTCCTGATTTGATTATATAAAAGTTAGAGCAGTTGGCTAGCATTGTTTCTGCCAGGGGCTCTTGCATGCTCAGTTGCATACTCCTTGATTCACAGAAGAGTTTTCTCTCAAACAAGTTCCATTCTAGAGGCTGGGAAGCATTCTTGACCCTTCCCAGGGAAATCTTTATATTTTTGCTGTATAGATTTACCAGGAGAAATGGAATATGTCTGTGCACCTGAGTGTTAGGATGTGCAGCTCAGAGAGACCTGGATTCCCATCTTCTCTTCCAGGGCTGCTTCTGTCTTCTTATCCAAAAAGTATGGACATGGTAATTTAAACACATCAAATACAGAGGCAGCGCTGCAAGCAGAGACCAGTCCACAGATACACCTTTCCCAACAGACAGATTTCTTAGTCATTAGATAAGAGGTGAGCCATTATATCCCTGGGTCCCCCAGCTGTCTCCTGAACTGCCTGTGAAGTGGTCCTTGGAGGATTAGGCAGCAGCTGATTGAGACTTTTTTGGCACTTTCAGGTGCTTGTGGTGGTATTTCAGCACTTTCAGGTGCTGAAAAAGGTGCTCCAGGTGCATCCTTTCCATCCCAGTCCCTTTTACACAGCAGAGAGCAGAAGGCAAGAAGTTGCATTTGTCTTACAAAATGTATTGAATGCATAGGGGAGAAGGAAGGCTCCCTGAAACTCCAACAAATGCTATTGATCGTGCACAAATAAGTCTCCCTTAGACATGACTATGAGGCACTTTGGGCCCCAGCCTTTCTGAGGAACCATCTGGGTACTTTGCAGATCACCCAGAAATGCCTCGGCCCTTTTTGCTGACATCTGTGTTGGAGCCAACCTCTCTTGCTCCCCACTGCATTCCAGCAGCATAGAGAGTGGGAGGTCAGTTCCTCAATGCTGACATTCTTCCATGGTACAAGACAGCCGAAGAGATGATCTCATCTTTTTTCATCACCTAGGGATGGTGATGAGAAAGGAAAACCAGAAAAAAGGTCTTGAGTGATTGAAAGCCCGTTTTCACTGGACTTCATCTTGCATCTTCCCACTTGTGAAAAACAGGACGGAGCTGGGGTGAGTTTATTTTCCATCTCCTTGACTTTTGCAATATCTTATTGGAGTCTCCTTCAAGCTGGAGAGGCCCAGAAGAGAAAGAAATGCAGAAGTGGTGACTGTCTGCCTTTGCCCCATATATAGCTTTGGTATCTGGGTTACTCTGTTTTGTCTGGTATGTGTCTGTGATGCTGAATATGTACATCCAGCTCTGCTTCCTGTCCACACTCACCAGCACCGTTGTATCCTGGTCTGTGCTGTGCTCTGGAAGCACACATGTACGCACAGGCCAGAAGCTGTCAACATCTGTTTCTTGACTGGGACATCTAGGATAAAGGCTTACGTGGATGAGCTTCCTTGACCAGTGAGAGCTGGAGATGGGAAGAAGCACATTCTCTTGTGTTGCAGCTTTGAGTAGAAGGAGCTGCAGGTCTTTCTCTGGGTCAGTTTCAGCTCCAAAACCAGAGTAGAGAGTGTCCTTCCCAACTGCAGCCTGGAGAAATAGGATTGTCATTGTCCCAAGCCCCATGCCCGGAACTCACTGGCAGTCCCAGGAGACAAGCTCTGCTCCAGACTGGCTCTCTCCCCAGCACAGAGGTGTTGGCTCCTCATTCCTCAGGGAATTAGTGGCTTCAGTGTGAGCAGTGAGACTTCAGTCTCTAAGTCTCTGCAGCGTGTGGCCCTGGCACTTTGCAGCATAGCCAGCGTCCACAACTGGATACTTGGTGCTCTCACTGGATATAACAGCACCACGTTCTCCAGGGAAACCCTCAACACCCTCTGGTGGTGCCACAAACCCCACTTCTTCCCATTTTTAACACTGCAGTCCTTGTTTTGCTAAGCTGAAGCATGTGCCTAACAAGCACACGCTCCTCCTCTTCAAGTCCACCTAAAGCAATATCTTCACTTTTTTTACAAAAGTGAAGTCTCAGTATCCTGAAAGTACCTTTCAAATGCAACCACAGGATCTGCATAATTGAAACTTTTGCTCTAATCTCATTACCTCCCTCAGGCAGTTCCTGACAAATGGAGATTATAAGTGAGGGTTTGTAGTAAACATAAGAAAAAAATGCATCTTTAATGTTTTTGCAGTGTGTTTAAAGCAGTTTGGGTGCTGAGCACACAGAACTCATTTCCCTTTCACCTGAAATGCCATTCTGTTTATTAAATTAGGAGCAGCATTAATCTTAGAACATATCCAAATCTTTTTGTGATTTTGCATTTGTCGTAACTGAAAGATCTCACTAAATGTTTCTCTATAACTCTAAACGTTGCCTGTCATGTAATACTTGTCTCAGATTTTCCTCAGTGACTTTGTATCAGGGCTGAAAATGAGCTATCACAGAAAATAAAGTGGGACTAAAATAACAGCCCTTTGTATTAAATTTAACATTTGGCTTCTGTCCCAGAATTTTCCACATCCATATTAGAATCAGATGGTAGTGTAAGATGAAAAGATTTCCTGGATGGGTTTTATTCTGATTCTTATTAAGGGGCTGATAACAGACTAAAGGCAAGATACTTGTAGTAAAAAAAGCCTGCCTAATATCAAAGGATGGATGGACAAGCTGACATGTATTATTGTTAGGCTTCCCTGCTTGAACACATTTCGCTGTCAAAATTCCAGTGTGAGAGCCAAAAGCCCAGGCTGGTAGGTGGCCCTGCTGTGGGCATGCTGCTTTATGCTTAGTGGCTGACCATAAGCCAAGGCAAGGGTTTAATATCAAAAAGTAGTGTTGGACACAGCACAGTGTAGCTATATTTATTTTATTCTCCACAATTTTCATTCATGACAGAAGCTCCTGACTTGCCTGTGGAGCAGGTATCATGTGTGATGTGACAGCACAGGACAGCCCCACCAGTATTACTCAGCCTTCTCCAGAAGCTATGCATCCTCTGCCCTGTCCCCAAACCAGCACTTGTCCCAGGTTCCTTTGGCAATCTGGACACAGAAAGATCAAAGGGACCTAAATACTCTTCAGAAAGCAATTTTCCCTTTGCTCCAAGCAGCTTTTTATAGTACTTATGTATGATTGGGCTTAAATTGTACAAAGGTTTGCAGGCTCTGGATGTTCTATGCAAAAACAATTACTTTTGATAAAATGGAGGAGTGGTGCTTTATAGTGTTGCTGTTCTGCTGTAGTGGAGAGTATGAGCATGATATTGGAGCTATAAATTCGATTTTGCAAAGCAGCTCTTCTGTAGGGAGTCTGCTGCTTCGGACCAACAGGCTATAATCAGCATTTTCATGGGGATATTTTGCCTCTGTTTTGTCACAGTATCTTCAGCACCAGTAGTAGAGCAGCAATTTCAAGCTGCATTGACCCTTCATTTCAGCTTGTGATCACAAAGGGTGTCAAAGAACAAATATGCTTTGTAGACATTTTATGCTGCTATTCTAAATTTTATGCTTTTTAAAGCAACTGGTATGTGTTCTAAAATTATAGGCAGAGAATCATTTCACTGGCACTGGGTGTTTACAGCGTCATCGATACCTGAGCTTACACCCAGCACTCCTTTTACAAGCAATGGAGAGAAATGTACATGTTTAGAGCAGTAATTCGTCTGATTATTTTAGACATCCTTCCAGTGAGAGGGATTGTATTCTAGAAGAGCCTGTTTCTCTTCTTAGCAATAATAACCCTAGCATAATTAGTTCAGGAGGTGTTATCTGTAGTTAGGTGAGATGGATCCCATACAGCATGTTTCTGAATAGCACTGTATTCTCACTCTGCTATTAACAGTTTGTATGAATGTTTTGTGTTTGGTTGGGGGGATTTTTGTTGGGTTTTTCGGGTTGTTGTTGTTTTGTTTTGTTTTTTAATTATCAGATTACCATAGGGAATCCGTAAAGAGATCAGCTGTGTATGTAAGAAATACTCGGTTCACTCCCTACAAGATCTTTACCACTGATAATTCCAGCTACCTTAATGCTTCCTGTGAAAGCTGTTTTGGTAGGTGTATTGATCCTGTCCTCCTCAGGTACCACCAGTTCGATGCTAAACATCTCTTTGGATGAGGAGTGTATCCTATTGGGTACTTGGGCAATGCTAGGGGACATAACATCGGGCAAAAGTCTCTGAGAGAAAATTAGACCTCCTTGTACTCACCTGAAAACAGCTTCAAGGAGGTCAAACGAATGGGGCTGTAGCACATACATGCCTGTTTTCAGAAGTGTTACAGCAAATGGGGTGAGGGATAGGGAGGCATGATTTATATTGATGAACAGTGTTGATGCCCTGTTCAGTTAGGTTCACCTGAACCATGCTTCTGGATTCATTCATTCAAGCCAGAAGAAAAGCCCTCAAAGCTGGTCTCCTCAAGATGAGTTTGCCATATATAACAGGGCACAAAGGGTACCTATTATCTTAGGAGACAGAAGAATTTCCTGCGAACAGCCCTCAGCAAAAAAAAAAACAAAAACCACACACCAAAAAAACCCCTAGCAACTAAAGAATCAGTCGTTTCTGAAGTGTATAAGCAGAGTCACAGAATAGGAGTAATGAGGTATTATTGGTCCCAGATTTGTCATTTGTCACTATATTATAGTGGTGCAAGCAGATCAGTTTTCAGAGGGCGATGGCTGCTGGAAACATGTTCCTCGAAAACCTTTCTTGTTCACTACCCCAAAATCTATAATTACTTTTGGAAGTCTTAGCTTTGGTTTAGAGTTCTGATATCTGGGTTACTGACATTCAAAACCTCAAGGCTCCCTAGTGTGGTCCACTGAGCATTAGTTTTCCTCTGATTAATCTTCTGGTTGATTATATAATTAATTTTCTCTAGGTGAATATGTATTATGTTTCTTTAATTAATTAATTCTTTCACATCAGCTTTGCTTGTTCCCTCCTTTGTCAAGGTCTCAATGTTTGTAGCATTGACTAGTGACACATGTATGCATGTTATTTTTCTTGGTTTTTTTTTTTCACAGATAGAACTGAAATTGCACCATGCATTTTGAAGACTTCCCCAACAGATCAGCAGCTGAACAAGCTCGCGAGGAGGCTGGGACCAGAGTGGGAGCATGTAGTTCTGTGCTTGGGTTTGTCCCATACTGACATCTATCGATGTAAAGTCAATCACCCTCACAACCTGCAGTCACAGATTGTAGCTGCTTTTGTCCTGTGGAGACAGCGCTTGGGGAACAAAGCAACGATCCAAAGTCTGCAAACCAGTCTGATGGCAGAAGAAGTGGATCCTTCTGTGATGCAGTACATGCTTGATTGAGGCCATGCTGTTGATTGAGAGCTTCCACATACTTTGTTAAATTAAATAGAGGATGGAAATGTATGTTGAAGATCAGATGCCTCAAACTGGGGGAAAAAAAGGTGCTTGGAAACTGTAATTTTATTAAGCTCAAACATTCCAGTTTTCTGTGGTATCTTGTGACTTGTAATTCTTTGCATGCCGGATTAATTTTAGC